ATGTGAAAGGAGTGAGTGAGTGAGTTTAGTTTTACGGTACGCCGCACTCAGAAATATTCCAGCTATATTGCGGCGGTCTGTAAATAATCGAGTCTGGACCAGACAATCCAGGGATCAACAGCATGAGCATTGATCTGCGCAATTGGGAACCGATGACATGTGTCAACCAAGTCAGTGAGCCTGACCACCCGATCCCGTAAGTCGCCTCTTACGACAAGCATGGGTTACTGAAGATCAATATTCTAACCCGGCCCTTCACGGGTAGAAGTCCTAGAAATTCTCAGAGGTCAAGCTGCCAAACACGGTCACCCATCCAAGGACTAACTGTGACAAATGTTGCTTAACTTCAACTGAATTAAATGACCTGGGTTCTATGCTCAAGGCCACACACAATCACGAATCCGGTTGAAAGCGTGGGCAATGATTCATGCCATCGGGACCATCGTACCATGGCGGCGACACACAGTCAATAACAAAAAACACTTTCCATCAACACAAGACATTACCTCCTGATGAAGAGTCCATTTACGATCATAAGCAGGTGTTTACGAATCAGCATTAAACAGAGATGGTACCTGTGTAAGTGAAGAGATGAGTGTAAACGCCTTACTGGTGGCGCTCCCCATATTCACATGCAGAGGCAAGCCAGTTCATTCTGGCCTTGAATGTTTATCGTAAACCGAGTGAGTTCATCTGGAACAGTCGTGCGAACTGTAGCAACATAATTTTAATCACTGATATGTAACATTAGGCAACGTCCTCCATATTTAGCTAAACCGACGTGACATTCCAACAGAATCTTCAGCTAGTGAGTTAAGATTTACAGTCACATCGGCAATATTTCAGACATATCGTTTTAAATTCACCATCAATATATGTAAATCTTATAAAAGCCTGTGAAAGAAGGACAGTCAAAGCAACTAGAAAATCACAGTTATGAATATATAACTAGTATGTCAATCTAAAATGTGTTAGTCACAGAAGACACTACAATATAAAAACAGGCTATGGATTGCAAACAACTGAAGGTAGATCAACATACCAGAGACCATGGGGCCTCGATTAAAACTTTGGTAAGTTTAAATATACTTTGAATGTTTTGGGACTTGCGTATCCTCTCAGGAGGACAATGATTTGACAGTACTTTAACCCCATTTGAGGATACAGCCACTAACAATCATAGTTTTTAATCCACCAATTTTAAAATGCCGTTAATCTATTTACAAAACATGTTTATTTTAAAAAACAATTATTAAATGATAATTAACACCATAAAAAAGATCCATTATTGTTTTGACACTGAAATATTTATCCATTGCGATGGAAAAATCAATACAGTCAAGCAGGACATACTTGACTGTGATTCTCTTATCACAAAGGATACAACACTGATGATCCTCGCCTTTCAATAAATATTCGTGAGTATATCGCCTATGGCCAATGCGACATCGTCGCATAATATTCAGCTGAGGTTATGTCAGGTAGTGATCTGATATTTGAGACCCATCCATTCAGGCTACAAGATGCATCTGAACATCTGAACCCTGCCCGCTTGCTGGGTATCGCCTTTGTGCCAGAAACCCCTCGTTGGCGAAGTAATATTGGTAAAGATTGTATATTGTCAGAAGACAATATACAATCCCTTGCGTTCATAGTTACGAAGACAACTGTATATACCAGGCAAGCTATTCTCAAAACTTCTTAAGTCCATTCTTAACACACTGGCTACGATCAAAGATAAGAATTCTTAGGGCTACGAACGTTTCGAGAATAAGGGCATACAATGTCCCTCCGTGACTGCCAGTCGTTCCGAGATTTGCATGGCTTTCGGCCAAGGGGCCTATTTCTGATAGCGATTGTGACTGTACGATTGTCGTTAGCCCATGTTAAGGAAGCTAAATGTTAGTTCGCTTAACGAAACGGGACCTTTTCCATAAAGAAGAGATTGTCTTGGAATAGTTCACATGACGTCCCGGATATATTTGCCCAACCAGTTACTTATACTATCCATCAAAAGTTTAGACTCACTAGTGTAAATAAAGCTACTTATCTCAGGCAACTGTTCTGAACTAGATTTTGCAAAATATGCCATATTGTTTAAAGGTACTGTTTACACATGAACTGATGTATTGTAAAACAAATTCGTAATGTTGAAAACATTACTGTCATGAGTTCAATAAATGATGAAACTCAGTGAAAATTGGCGAATTCTTAACAAAACTTTACACCAAAACGCAGCTGTTGACATGCACGATATTGGCACATGCTTTTCATCATTTTGATGCATTATCCTCGTGCAATTCATCTGCATAAGGTTTGCAGTTGGTTCCCCCAAGTAAGTGGAGAAATTCATCTTTGATATAACCACATATATATACAACCCGTGAAGGTCCGGGTTAAATCAGTAACCCATGTTTGTCGTAAGAGGCGACTAACGGGATCGGGTGGTCAGGCTCACTGACTTGGCTGACACATGTCATCGTATGTCAATTGCGTAGATCGATGTTCATGCTGCTGATCCCTGGATTGTCTGGTCCACACTCGATTATTTACAGACCGCCGGCATAAAGCACATATATATACATAACATATATAGTGAGTGCTTTAAGTGAGTCTAAACTTTTGATGGGTAGTATATAAACACATAATAATAGGGATAAAAATGTATTGTCTTTGATCCCCTCAAAACGTGCGTGTATCCCTACTATAATAGTGTAGGGACGTACATGTACATCTACAAACAAAACAACAGTTATCGTTTTTATGTAGATAAATCTGGAACAAATGAGCTGTAATTTCATTCACGTGCATCATTCACACAGTTCGAGTCAGCAACACGCCGTGTCGAAACTTATATGTTAAAACTGTATCTGTGGTGTAACACTAGACAAGCTGCTAGGAGGACGTGGGCTTTTGTTAATTGGCAGTCTAAGCAGGTTGTTATGGCCGTTAAAATCCTACTTAGCTTGTCTGAGATTTCGAGTATTATGAAGTATATCATTCAAGTGTTAACCGATTATCATCATCGTCGTGGGAAAATGTCTCTGTTAACACACAGAGTACTAATTAGACCGTCTAGTCCACGGCTGGAACTGGAAGCCAGACTGTCGAGGATACAATATAGTTCTCGAAATCATTCATCAAGTCTGCGTTTGACTATCTGAATTAGTAGTGAATGTGATGTCCATAGTTTTCCAGTCATATAAACGTTCTGAAAAACGGGGAAAATGTCATTCAGGGGTACACAAGGCGACTGGATGGGAAATACTGTGTCATTTTAGGACAATTAACCTATAGCCGCCAGTCTATCAAACAGCCCGAGCGACCAATCAGAGAGCCTGAAGAGACAGAAGCCACCATTGTGTCCGACATATTCAAACCTGTTGGATGTTTGTAAAACTAGACTATTTAAAGTGAACATTTTCATCTGCACAGAAAGTCAGCGACATGAGCCTCGATGGCCGAGTGATTGAGGCTATTTGTATGCTAGCATTTGTTACATTTGATTTGTAAGCGAATGAGTGAATTTGTGTATTTAAATAAGTACATGATAATTTTTATCTGCCTGTGATTTCTTCCAAATGTTTGTGATCTATCAGGGAAATTACACTTGAAAATAATTGATTATTCCTTGTTTAAAGAAAACATTATATGTGAACCATATGTACGCTATATCAATATTAAGAAAGAAAGTATAGACTCATCTCTGTTTCGTTCAGTTTACTATAGTGATATGGTGTTATTGCAAATCTAGCTGTAAGCAAAATGTCATGGAAGCCGAATTATAGCGACATCAGAAGCAAATATATACCCAGTTATTTTACGAAAAAACCTTCAAAAAACATATTTATGCAGCTATTGTCAACTGCTAGCCGTATATGAATTGAAAATATGGCTTTGTTTACTTATCGTGCTATTATGGAGAGAAATCCACTCTGCTGTTTAACATTGTATGTACGTATACTAGGGCCCCTTGACCTTCAGTTCTGAATAGAGATTGACTTGAATGTGATTCGGATTTATTGGTAATATCACCAGGTGCATGCTGAGATTATCCGAAATGACTCACGTTGTGTTCGTTCAATATTTGTTTGGAATCGATTAATGGGTATATACCGAAATTAAACAAAGTATTTGGGGAATCATGGCATGCATAAAGTACTGAACTGTGCCATAAAGTGTAGGCCCAGTAGTCGTCATGGATATTTTGCGTATTATGAGTTAATATAAAGATAAATTGGTGTGATATTTAATTTGTGACACTAAGCACGTTGAAAGGCAAATATACTATTAAATGAACAGATAGAAAGTCATGAATTGTAAAGTACAGAGATGCATTTATGTCAGTATGAGTATAGTGAATATACTGTATAGTGAACTGTGTCTGTGTTGGGAATACTCTATTGTATGGCTATGAGCACGATAACATAATAATATTCTACTACTATATATATGTGCTGTCTAGTACATATATATATAACCTTTTCTTTAACTTCTTTGTTGTGTAACAGTGAAGTCTACACTATTCCACACAGTTTGATATTGATACTATTGGCCAATGAGCAGTCAGACTGACTTCAAAATATTTCGGGATGTAAAATCACTCACTCACTCACTCAAAATATATTTTTTCACTGATACCATATTTTGTGAAAGAAAACCAACCCTATATTTTAATAGTCATACTCAGTCTTTGAAACTTAATCACGGCTTTCACTTATCTGTCAACATAAAAGAGAAACATATCCCTTGGAAACTGAAACACTGCTTCAATGTGATATGCCAAAACAGACTTTGATGGAATCATATTGAAAACGATTTCCATATTATTCAAATCCTGATATTTTTATAGTACCCATAAACATCACCACATCAGTGAAACATGATGCTGTATAATGAGATCTCAGTGCATCATAATCTGCAGAATAGTGCGCATGATGCACGCCCATGACTATATTGTGCAGCAACAGCTTGTAAACTCGTCCGCCTCCTCTAAAGGCAGGCAACCAGTCTGTCATAGTCAGCGGAGGAAGACCGCTGCGTATAGCGGAGCCCGCCCGGCCTGTGTGAACGTGAACGTTAATCAATGAAGCCGAGTCTCGCTTCAGTGTAGTGATTGGCTTCGTATAGGTGAGCAAACTCTCACTGCTAGCCACACAACGGATTTATTTCACGGTACAAAGTTGCGGCTGTGTTTCATCAGTCAGTGGCAGCAACGTGTTCGACACAGACGTCATCCGGATGCTCTTTTAAGGAACTGGAGCCGCGGACTCGTTGGCTAAATGCAACAATGGCATACAACATGCAAGGAGGAAATGGAACGGTATCTTTGGATTTTATACACAGTATTTCAGATAATGACACGAATCCGGATAGACAGTCAACGAACGTTTCCAATCGTTTTTTGAAGCCAAGAGAATTATCAGAACTAGAACAAATTCAGAACGAGCTCGACCTTGTGACAATGCCAGCCGCCTTATCAACAGGAATAGTAACAAATATTCTTATAGTATGTACCTTCCTCATCACTCCCGTGGGGCGCCATCCATTGAGCATCTACCTAACCGCCGTTGGACTTGCTGACCTTACCTTTCTGTTATGTTCCATGATCCTGTGGATTTCAAGAAATGTCTTTGATATATACAACCACACCGGTATGTGTCAGCTCACAACATATGCCTTATTCTTGTCTACCTTTCTGGGAACCTGGTACCTAGTTTCTGCACATCTGGAACGATGTCTTTGGCAGTTTGGGCAACGTCGGAAGAAGAAGTGGTGCACGAAATTCCGTTCTAAATGTATCATTATTACAATTGCTATCTTCTCAATGGTAGCGTACCTGTATGTACTGTGGACTCACATCGTTAGGAGACTCAATCGAAGGGTGTCCATGTGTGCTCCTATGTTAGAGAGTATCAGAGATCTTGAAAGACTACGGAAAGTGGAGATAGTCTTTTCTGTGTTCATCCCAATGGTGCTTATAGTCCTGATGGACATTATTCTTCTGGTCAAGTGTGCAGCAAATCTGTGTTTCGGTGAGAGCACAACTAAAACTACGTCCCGCTCGGTGAGAATGTCAACAAGAGTAAGTGCCGCTCTCGTGTCCAATGGTGTGGATTTGTCTTCGGAAAGTTCAGCAGCAACTTTGGTGTGTGTCATCTGTGGAATAATGTACGTGGGACTTCTAATGCCTTCGGTGTACATCCGAGCCAAGTTAAGTTTCACAAGTGTTCGGAGACCCATTGACTTTCAGCTTATGGGGCTGTTTGAAAACCTTGCCAAATTCAATGCTGTATATAAGTTCTTCTTGTATGTGTTATTTTTACGCAGTTTTCGCAAGGGTCTTGTGGCTCTTTTCACCTTATGCTGTGTGTCCAGGAGACGCAGAACCAGCAATGACCACGGACGTTCCTGTGGATGTTGTAACAAGCAGAGTCCGGGCAGCCAAGCTACAGATTTTGTGTAATCTTCAAATATCTCCTTCTATTTATCAGGTGAGACAGGATATGCTCAAAGAGACTAGCAGGTACTTTTCATCCTTCATTATATTATAGGGAACCCGATACACTTTAATCACTTCGTATTTACAGAATGACCTTTCAGCGTACCTGGTAATTTGATTGTATATAGTCTCCGCTAAAGCCGACCATGAAATAAATTAATTGCCTTCGTGACATATAACGTTTTTCTTCATTAGAACATGTCCTTTGGATATGAGCAGACTCAATATTGATGATATCGATCACTTCCCTATCTCCTCGTAAGCAGCGGTATAACACGACGTTAATCTGCTTGTAATTCTGACAGGGGTTGAGGGGAATGTCGTATAGGATATTATCTTACAGGCATTTTGCACGTTACTAGATGGCAGTAACATAAAAAGTAAGCATGATCCTGAGAGTCAATCAACCCAAAGATAACATGCCTTGTGTTACCAATTATGTTGCGTATAATGCTTGATTAGTAGAGTTTGACTGTGGAAAAATATTTTGACAAAACTGATTTCAATATGTTGATAGTGTTTCTTTTTAGTTTGTATATGTTATTGGTAAGTAGATCTTTATGGGCAGTGTTGGTTAAGAACTGTGAAGCTATAGACGCCATGGACGTGATATTTTATAAAACAAGGATAATCACATGTGCATTTACTGTTACACTTTTCCTTTAATGCAAAGCAACAAAATCACTTCTTCCTGAAATTCAAAGCTTCTCAAGATTCCTAGACGTGTTCCAAGCTTTTCTCCTCCTTTATTGTTTTACGAAAATCCTGGAAATGTAAAATGCACCTTGCTATTATACTTGTTTATAGTATCAATGTGTCGAATTGAGTCTTTCGTGGTTTTTACATGGATTTGATTAATTACTATATAATAATATTCACTGATAGACGGATTGAATTCATAATTATATCGATATCAGTTGTTATGTAATTACGTTAAGTGCGAGCGATTTGGGTTTATTATTAATTTTCAACTGTGGTTATAGTGGACGCTTCAGTCTAATTTGATGCAAATGTACGGCCTTTATCACTGGGGAATTCCACGATCTTGCGAATGGTACCAACAAACCAAGTGGCGATATTCAGCCCGTTTTGTATTGTATTGTCCTAACTTGGAATCGAGATAGATGCTAGTTTTAATTCTTGATACTGTCATATTCTAGTTGGTTGTACTGTCCTTCGTCGACAGGTTTTTAAAATGTATGAATTTAATTATTCATTTATAACTATTTTTAGCTGAAATACTGCCACTGTGACTATAAACTTTAACCCACCCACTCACCAACAAACCCAGGATTATGACTTAGTCGAGTCAGAGATTCGAACCCACGACCCTTAGACGTAACTAGACGTATATCTGTACAGCGAATTACGACTGAGGCTTCGAAAATAAGCCCAGACACTCGCTGTATATTTTTTTCGCAAAATTTGAAAGCGTACTTTAGTATGTTTGACTTATGTTCATTTAGCTCTGGCACACCTTAGTGTGTATTTTATATTAAAAAATGAAACTTGAGACAATGTAGAGTGTATTAATATTGAAATACCTTCCGACTTATAGATCAGGAGAAGTTTTCGTTTCAAAGGGCAAATCGAAGCTGTCGCCTTTGAAACGACACCAATTTCAGCTCTCTAGGTTTAATGCGTGGAAATGCCTCCAGGGCCTTCGTCGTGAATTAGTCCCTGACATATTAACATGGCTGATATTAGGCTGATGTTAATGGTTTTGTTGAAAATATAGATGGCATCTTGACACACAGTGATGTCCTGTTTCAACCTGCATAAAAGAGGAATGCAGTATATTCCTGTGAACTTCCAGATACTGATCCTTGGATGGTTCTGAAACAATGGCTTTTATACGATCTGCATTAAACCATTCATTGGATCAAAAGATAAGTCCAAACCCTGGATAAGCTATATCGGAGGATTGTATAAAAATAACGAAAATTAAGCCGACGCATTTCAGACACTAATGCATCAATGATTCAACCATAGTGAGTTATGTTGAGACTTCTTAAATGTTTACATCTCAAATGATTCAACCACAGTGAGCTATGTTGAGACTTCTTAAATGTTTACATCTCAAATGATTCAACCATAGTGAGTTATGTTGAGACTTCTTAAATGTTTACATCTCAAATGATTCAACCATAGTGAGTTATGTTGAGACTTCTTAAATTTTTACATCTCAAATGATTCAACCATAGTGAGTTATGTTGAGACTTCTTAAATGTTTACATCTCAAATGTTTGGAGGCTCAATGACCATCGGCCAGCGCTAGCTGTTGAAGTTATAGCTGTTCTTCAAGCTACACATAGCCTAATGTATATGATCATGAGGCAGTTATAATTACGGAATGAAGGGCAGTCCTTGCTTTTTATAAGAGGATTCCGCGGGCATGATCTTTCTCATTTCTGCCAGGTGCTCCACCCTCACTTACTCATTCGTGAATGTTCACCTCAACGGACCGCCTCCGTGGTGTAGTGGTTAGAGCGGCCGCCCGGAGAGCGGAAGGTCGCGGGTTCGATCCCGACCGCGCCATACCAAAAGACGTTAATTTTTTGTACATGCTGATCCCTGCCTGGCGCTCGACATTAACAACAAGGACTGGTCGGCTTGGAGTCAGTATAATGTGCCTGAATGGGGTATTCATGCTTAACTGCGGCATAGTATCTCAATGAGCTGGCACTATAAAACCAGCTTAAGTCAGGGCTAGTACAAACAGCCGGACACACAGGCACGTTGTCATATGAGCGAAATATTCTCAAGTCCGACGTTAAACCTCGTTTTCAACTCACTTCACCTCACCTTCAATTAACCTCAACGATTATCAATATTCTTTAATCAATTTGGAGTCTCTATCGGTACTTCATTAACGGATGGTCAGGTTGGAAAATCACCCTATCCGAAAATATTCAGTCTATAAAATAGCACAGGATCGGTCCAGATTTGGTCAAGTGTTTTTTTCTGGTCTGCAAATGAACCAATCAGAAATATTTATTGTCAAACATCGCACGATTAGTCTAGACTGGATTTGGTGCTTTATTGTCGTAACTTCGGCACACGAAAATGAAGATTTACTTTATTTATGTTATACGAAGCACATCAATAAATGCATATCAGGTTTGATAGTCAGCCAAATCGATCATTAATAATGACGCCAGTGGTCACATAAAACTTACCCGGACCTATTGCCGATTATTTGAGAAAATATTGTTACCAAGGCCAATAATTCGACAGATGATGATACTGTCTTCTACGTACGTACACGTACTTAATACGTACACAGTACGCCTCTGTAAATCCTTCAAGACGTATTATGGTAGACATGTGGAGGAAATTTCCAAATTTGATTTATCAGTGGCAAAAATGATGCCTGATGCAATTCCCTCTTTTGACTTGACTATTCCATACGTTCACAAGTTATTTCAGGTAAACAAATGACTAGACTTAGCATATATTAATGACAGGTGCCACCCATGGGACAGGATACGCTCACCTTTTCGCGAACACTTAGTATCATCACTATTTCATAGTGATTCATCAACACATGCTTTGCCATCGTATCGCATGGTGACAATGACAATTTAGCTGTAATACGGCTGAAACAAATATATACTCATCATATAGTCACAACTGTACAATCGACTCTTTTTTAGCAGAGATTTCTTATGAATGTGGAAAGGGGTTTGTTGCGTCTACTTACAGGTACGTTATAGTTACATCTGAAAGTATACTAGGCACATAAAGAAACTGTGCATACAAAAATTTAAAATCTATATTTTTCAAACCTGTGTAGACACATAAGGATTTAAACTCAGAGATTAGTGATATGTATCCAACATGCATGCACGTGCCACGTTCTGTGACGTCAGTGGGTTCGTCCTTGAGACGTGCAATACGTTGTTGCACGTACATTCCGGGAAAGAGAAACAGAGCAAATGAATGCCACACAATACTGTCACTTTGGAAAGCTCAACCCCTGCCCATGCGATCGTTCAAAACATTAAACGGCTATTGAAACGCATAGCATGCCAAGGCTTACGTCTGTACAACGTCATGAGGCCATTGGGATGGTCCGTGGGGGAATGTTTCAACGACAAGTGGCTGCACATTTCCACTGCCACCGGAACACCATTTCTGCACTGATGAGACGCTACCAGAACACAAATGACGTCCACGTGTAACAACGCCAAGACAGGACAGATGGTTAAGGGTGACCCATCTGCTCTACAGGTTTCAGACTGCAGTGATGACTGCCCGAACCATCCCAGGACTTCGCCGTATTCACCCCAACACAGTTCGACAACGTTTACGTCATCACGGGATCAGACCACGACGTCCCGCCATACGGCCTATCCTGACACAACGTCATCGACAAGCTCTCCGAATGTGTTGCCGAAATCGTGTCCGCAGACTTTGTTTTGGTGGAGAAATGTTGTTTTTACAGATGAGTCCAGGTTTAACATTTCCCATAGTGATGGACGTCAACGTGCCTATAGACGCGTGGGAGAACGTTATGCACAGGCCTGTGTCTTGGAAAGGAATTGCTTTGGTGGTGGTTCCGTGATGATTTGGGTTGGAATAACAGCACGCCAAAGAACTCCTTTGGTGATTGTTCAGGGCAACTTAACTGGTGTGGGCTACAGGGATCAGATTCTTCGACCTGTGGCAATTCCTTTTCTGCAACGTCATGGCTCTTGGTTAACATTCCATCAGGACAATGCCCTCCCTCATACGGCAAGGGTTGCTATGGCTTTCTTGCAACACCACAACGTTGACTTACTGCCTTGGCCTGCAAATTCACCGGATCTCTCCCCGATAGAGCATGTTTGGGACGAGATGGATCGACGTCTACGCAGTCTTTCTCATCCGCAAGATAACGTCCTTGACCTTGCAACAAAACTTGAGAGAATCTGGCGTAACATCCCACAAGCCTTCCTTGCACGTTTGATAGGTTCTATGCGTCGTCGATGCACTGCTGTTCTCAATGCCGATGGTGGACATACCCGTTATTGAGCTTATGACATGGTCGTTTGACCCCTGTCCCGCTTGTGGACTCGAGACGTCATTGTGATTGACTTTTCAATTGAAATTCTCCCGACTTGTTATGGTCTCATGATCCCTCGATTAAAGTTTACATGTATCTTTGACATTGGTATCGTTCTTATCAAC